TTAAATTAAATTAAATTAAATTAAATTAAATTAAATTAAATTAAATTAAATTAAATTAAATTAAAATAAAATAAAAATGCATAAAATATTTGTGAAGTAAAATAATATTTTAGTCAATTAATTCTTAACTTGGAACATGAAGGACTCATAGAGCTACAGAGAAAGAGGATAAGCAGTCAGGGCCACTTTCCAGGAACAGAGAAGCATTTTAGGAATGCTTTGTGGCTTGGGGACAAAAAGTTGAACCCTCTCCGACTCAGAATTGTGTATCATGGGGAAAATGCACAGGGAACACTATTTTACTATTTATACAAATGGAAAATCAGAAAACCTTTCTATCCACATTATGAACCTGACTAGCAGAGATTATGAAATTGTTCAGATCGAGGTCTCTGATAAAATCTAGTTATGAAATTGAGTAGAAAATAAGAAATGAAGGGAACAAACAACACTGTATCTAGGTTTACTCATAACTATGTCTAGTTCAGCCCTGTGCCAGAAGTATATTAAAATAAGTTAAAAACAGGGCAATGTCTAAAAATGGAATATAGTTTGTGTGTTTTGCTGAGAGCATGCAGTGAAGAAATATAAGATGCCTTATGTCTGGGCTTGTCCAAGTAGGAAGCTGCTTTGAAATGTCAGAAGAGGAATGGGTGGAAAAAGGGATGAAGGGTCATTAACTGCTTCTAAATAGAGATGGAAAGGACCACAATGATCAACTCAGCTAAGCCTTGCCTGCTGTGTGGATCCAATGTAAGGAGGTGGTCTCACCAAAAACAGCAATAGATTCCATAAAATAAGTCTTATATATACAGAATTTTTCAATACAGTAAAAGTATACAAAAAAGGTAGAAAGTAAGCAAAAGAAAAAATGAAATGAAATGAAATGAAATGAAATGAAATGAAATGAAAAAAGAAAATTTAGTTACGCCTTCTGCCCTTCTTTCTATCGAGTAATTACCATCTTCACCCTTTTTAATCCCCAACTCTAGAAATCATCAATTCAGTCTTTTCTTCCTTCAGCAAAAAGTCCATATAAGGTTTCCTGTCTTTCAAAACAGTCATTTTTTCCCTGACCAAAGAAAAGCAATAGATTCTGTAGAATATGGATAATGACTTGTAATTCCACTTACAGCAGATCTATGGGGTTTGTGCTCAAGAGCCTTCCTTCCAGAGCTACTTTTAACAGGCGAATCCCACTAGTGACTTATACCTTCATCTAACCATCACTGAGATTATTGAAAACCTGTCACTCATTACTGTCATTTTGGCACAACAATGGTTGGGTGATTCTTAAGATAGTTAAAATCACCATTGGGACCCTGTCAATATTCTCTCCTCCACGAGAGAGCAAATTTAACAGATGAATGTTTGAATGTGGACAGCAACCAGATGAATGCATAAAGCCTTCACATGTCAGGATGTGCTGCCAACATTATGTGAATTGTTACCTATATGGATAATCTGAACTACTTTGCACATCTTTTGTTTTCTTTCTTTTTTTCCAGTCTCCCTTTCATTTGTGTTTACTAGCAGCCTTTCCTGACTACTTTCTTACAGGAAGTAATTATTTTGATATTATTTTGTTCTTGTTTTGAGCCCTGATGTCAAACCTGGGTCCATTAATTCATGTGAGTAAGGGTTGTCCTGTTTGTTCTACATAGAAACCAGAGGGGCTTTGCTGGCAGCGAAGGGCATATATCATAGAGAAAGGCCCCTCTAATCTTGTATGTGTACTTGTTGGGGCCTGTGATGGTGCTGTTGGTGTAGATGTAGGGCCAAAATAGACAACTGGATTTGTTACAGGGTCTGGTATATGTATTAGTATTATTCTTCTGTTGTATTGGAAGAGAAATGCATTTG